GGCTGCGTTCCGTTTCACGCATGATGTGCATAATACATCATTTATTCTTGTTTAACGTTCGATGAATAACAAGAATAAAAGATGCATCATCGTGAAACGGAACGCAGCCATAGTTGTCATACATGCCAATACATGCGTCACTTGTGCAGGCCTGCGTCAACGATTGGTCGCATTCGGCAGCTCAGCTGTGAGGAGCGGATCCGAATGCTCACTGCTATTGGTGTATTCTTTTAGATCATCCAATAGCAGCGAGAACTCATGATCCGCTCGGCAACGATTGAATCTGCTGAACGCGATCATTACAACATGGTGTGATCAGCCTGAACTCGTAGTTTGTTTCAATCGCTTTGTCTCCGAGAGATGTGGCTAATGCTGATTCTACAATGGCTGCGTTCATATTAAACAAGGACAGATGATGATTCCGAGGCATCAGAGGCATTCAAGCCATGGTCAGCCATAAGGACAAGGGTATGCTCACGCACATGCTATACGCATGAGACCAATCAAAATTGTCAAGTGTGACGTCACAGACAAGCGGTAAATTTAAAACTGCTGTTTTTAAGCAGTTTATGTTGTCGAAACGTTATGTTTATGTCGTGTTCTTTGTTCTTTATTTGTCTTTAATTTGTCACTCATTGTTTATAGCAGACATTAAAGTGTTTTTTATTATGATATATTTATACAAATAATTTAACTCACAATAATTAACCTTTGGCTCGTAGCCCTATTTCATTTCGAATTTTTAAATTTGTTTAGCCTTAGAGGAAAGTCGCCGATACCGACATACCACTTTTTTAGACAATATTTCTTAAACAAAAAGTAAAAATAAAACTTTAAAAACGTAAGTACAAACTGAAACGTGTCTTCTATCAGATAATATAAGCAGTTTTTATAATACTGTTTGCAATTTTGCAATAATTAATTTTTTCATAAGGTAAGCAAAAATGAGCGTCTGACAAAATGGGCCCCAAAACTGAGGCAGTAATGCTACGTATTCATATTCTTTTTATTTTACAAGCATTATCTGTATAAAATATCTACAAATGAATGTATATAAGATTTTCCAGAATCTTTTCACTTCGTTATAAAACGTTTTTATTGAATTATGCGCATATTTATTTTATGATGTTCTGCAAGATACAAATATGTAATGCGAAAGTTTTTCAAGAATTTTTCCATATATGCACGATTGCCTTCAGCTCCAATAGACTTATTTGACACCATAAAGCATCATTATAAAGACTAAGTTAGCTCATGGTCTGTCTTACAGACAGGTGTGGCGGTTTACGCTGCACCCCAATTTTAAATTTAAAATCGTATTATGAAAAGACTAAAAAAAAATAATATAAATAAAACTGATTTAGGAAACTACAAGCATTTAAAATGACGTAATATTATCAATAATATAGTCACTATTATTTAAACCACGCAATTTGCCAAAGAAAATGGTAAAAATTTTATTTTCGTATTCGTAGAATTCGTTTTTAGTTGATTTGGTATAGAAAAAAGCTATAAATATACGAATTATGAGTTTGTACTTCTTTAATTAGCTAAACAGATCATGATTTTATTAGTATTAATAAAATGCAATAGTTAGAAATAAGGGGATGTCACTTTAGGAGATCTGTTGTTTGAATCAGTCTTATCGTGACTGGTCCATTATTATCGGCAGTCAGAGTTGGCAGTCGGGCCTGCAGAGTCGGTAGTCTGATACGGACTTAAATTTTATCGGTGAATCGATAAAGTTGACCAACAGCCATATTCTTGTATGACTAATAAGACTACCGATTTTCTTAAGACTGACCAAGTTCGACTTTATTCCTTCCCATTAATCGAGTTAAAGGACTCGCTGTACAATTAACAACTAGTAGATACAAACTAGTAGCAAAAAATCATAGTCACCTATTTAAGTTAAAACTGAGTAAGACTTAAGCCCGTATCAGACTACTGACTCTGCAGGCCGACCCGACTGCCAACTCTGGCTGTTGACCAATAATGGACTAATCACATTGAATCAGTCATATTGTGATTGGTCCGTTATTGATCGGCAGTCAGAGTTGGCAATCGGGTCGGCCTACAGAGTCGGTAGTCTGATACGGGCTTTAGATTTCCGACTACCGACTCATTGGCTGCGTTCGGAAACGTCACTTGGATCATGGTATAAGGACAAGAATATGCTCATTTCGTGGTCACCAATTCTGATGTATCCGATTTCTGATAAGTTGAAATCGTTATTCCTTATTCCTTCTATTGTGGCTGCACCTTGTACATATAATGAGACAGATGCAATTATTGTAATAGAAAATTCATTATAAATTTGATGATTTGATCTTAGCTCAGAGAGCTAACGCAGTGTTGTTAGGTACGCCGCCTTTTTAGCGCATGCGCGTTCGAGTATAGCTCACTGCAGTATTAGATTCGGATTTTTACGAGTCCTGCAGGTGCCCAATGTTGACATTTTTATGAAGTTACATAAAATTTTTTGGAAAATCAGCAATATATTATAAAACTAAATAAAATAATAGATACATTTACTATTACATATGAAATAATTTATATACATTACTGAAATAAAAAATCCTTTCTAAACAAAGAGATGCAAGTCGATAGTTGAATATATCGAAATATTGTTACCTCTTTTCGGCGATGCCGATTGGTTCTCTTGCTGCGCTTACTTCGTGAACAGCTGTCATCATCGCGGAGATCGCATGTATTAGATGTATGTGGTTAATAGTTAATAGTTAATTGTAAAAATGAAAATTTTGTTACTATAGTAAATATAATTCATAATTATAGTCTCTCGGTCTTTCCTGTTAACCTATACTAACCTCCGCTGGAGATTAGTAAGAAATTTTATGTTAAATAGAATTGTTTAAAAGTATTCAATTTAAATCTTTCCGAAAAAAGCTATCGCATAGTCAGTATCAAAATAAACATATAAACATATATTTAAGATATAAACAGATATTTAACACATATTAATCCTAACTTTTTTCCTCCCTCCCTGTTCTTCCTGTTTTATTATTTGCTTATATATTT